AACCTTTAATACAAAATACATCATCATGACCCAACTGACCCTACCAAAGCACAGATCTAGGACCAGCTTACCCTATATATTTCCAAATCTCTGTCATTTACAGGCGAAACATCAAAACTGACCTCAAATCAGCTAACAACCTATATTCTCTTTAAATGCTAATTATGTTGTGACAGAAAGAATTGCCTGATAAAATACTCTCATTTGCGAATGATTATCTCTAATGGAGCTGGTCCAGTACAGTATAGGTTCCCTGAGGGGGTCAAGTGATGGGATTCAGGTAGCTAGTTGGAGGTTTCCAGCCCATTATAGCATAGCCATGGGGAAGGCCTGAAGGCCTCAGGGACCTGATTAGTGTCTGTTTTCCACTGTGGGGGTAATGGAAGAGCTGTGGATTGGACCAATGTAGCCTATCTATCATCACTGGAGAATACTCTGTATTTATTATGTTTCTATTGGTATTTATTTTTGGGCTGTGGGTAGAGCTCTATGCTGCTATGCAAAGCCTCAGGTCCGTGTGTGTGTTTTCTTGATGTGGGTGGGGGTTCCTTAATGTGGGCTTGTGACACGTGTGTTCGTTGTGTGTGTGTTTGCTCGCACAGTCCACCACCCACACACAGTGAGATGTTGAGTGTCTAAGGTGTGTGAGAGTACAGTGTAAAGGCTTTAACAAACCACATGACCATACTGCATCAGTGTTGTGTTATGTGGGAGACAAGGTTGTCACGTCTTGGAGCCTGTGTGTTAAAAAGGCTTATCAATGAAAGTGATGGATCCTTAACTGGTGCAAAGGCTCTTTTGCATTTCTCTCTCTCTCTCTCTCTCTCTCTCTCTCTCTCTCTCTCTCTGTCTCTCTGTCTCTCTGTCTCTCTGTCTCTCTGTCTCTCTCTCTCTCTCTCTCTCTCTCTGTCTCTCTCGGTCTCTCTCTGTCTCTCTCTGTCTGTCTCTCTCTCTCTCTCTCTCTCTCTCTCTCACACACACACTCTTGCCACAACTTTGGAAGTATGCTTGGGGTCATTGTCCATTTGGAAGACCCATTTGCGACCAAGCTTTAACTTCCTGACTGACGTCTTGAGATATTGCTTCAATATATCCACATAATTTTCCTTCCTCATGATGCCATCTATTTTGTGAAGTGCACCAGTCCCTCCTGCAGCAAAGTACCCCCACAGGATGATGCTGCCACCCCCGTGCTTCACGGTTGGGATGGTGTTCTTCGGCTTGCAAGCAACCACCTTTTTCCTCCAAACATAACGATGGTCATTATGGCCAAACAGTTTTATTTTTGTTTCATCAGACCAGAGGACATTTCTCCAAAAAGTACGATCTTTGTCCCCATGTGCAGTTGCAAACCGTAGTCTGTCTTTTTAATGGCGGGTTTGGAGCAGTGGCTTCTTCCTTGCTGAGCGGCCTTTCAGTTTATGTCGATATAGTACTTGTTTTACTGTGGATATAGATACTTTTGTACCTGTTGCCTCCAGCATCTTCACAAGGTCCTTTGCTGTTGTTCTGGGACTGATTTGCACTTTTCCCACCAAAGTACGTTCATCTCTAGGAGACAGAACGCATCTCCTTCCTGAGTGGTATGACGGCTGCGTGGTCCCATGGTGATTATACTTGCGTACTATTGTTTGTACAGATGAATGTGGTGCCTTCAGGTGTTTGGAAATTGCTCCCAAGGATGAACCAGACTTGTGGAGGTCTACCATTTTTTTTCTGAGGTCTTGGCTGATTTCCTTTGATTTTCCCATGATGTCAAGCATGGAGGCACTGAGTTTGAAGGTAGGCCTTGAAATACATCCACAGGTACACCTCCAATTGACTCAAATGATGTCAATTAGCCTATCAGAAGCTTCTAAAGCTTTGACATCATTTTCTGGAATTTTCCAAGCTGTTTAAAGGCACAGTCAACTTAGTGTATGTAAACTTCTGACCCACTGGAATTGTGACACACTGAATTATAAGTGAAATAATCTGTTTGATAAACAATTGTTGGAAAAATTACTTGTCATGCACAAAGTAGATGTCCTAACCGTCTTGCCAAAACTATAGTTTGTTAACAATACATTTGTGGAGTGGTTGAAAAACAAGTTTTAATGACTCCAACTTAAGTGTATGTAAAATTCCAACTACAACTGTGTGTGTGTGTGTATATATATCTATATATCTCACCAATATTCAATAAATCGGATGCAATATTGTAAGGAAATCTCATGCATATCTGATCATTTGTGGCCATTCTCATGATGTCATTGTCACAATTTAACAAATTAACATTTGAAGCATATTTCTTGGACAATTGCTGTTTCGGATGACAATTTATAAGAACGTGTGGAAAAATGTCACTTTTTAATTTCCCAGCTATAAAACAGTCTATTGGCGGATTTATCATATCGGTAAGCTTTGTCCCCCCAAAAATCGGAATCCATATCAGACCAAAACAAACATATTGTTCGGGCTCCAAGTGTGTGTGGCACACCAAGACCTCGGAGCTCACAAACAGCAGAGTGTGCCAGAGAGAGAGAGCGAGATGGAGGGAGGGAGGGAGCCACGAGGAAGCGGATAGAAGGAGGAGGAGAAAAGAGGGAGGGAGGGAAAGAGAGCAGGAGAGAGCTAGAGCAGCAGCAGGCTGTGAAGCTGCAAGCAGCCTGAAGATAAAGCGTTTTTCTCTGTCGCTGCCTGCGAGCGAGGGAGAGAACAAACGAGAGAAGCCACCGAGAGAGCGAGAGGAATACAGGCTGCCTGCTGTTACTGTGTCTCCCGGCTTTCCCTGGATCTACGGGTGTCGGCTCAAATGCACACATAGAGGATTCATACACTCACACACATACACAGCTGATCAGAGGATCGCTCAGCCCTGCAGGCACACACACACCCTTGCTCTCTCTTCAGCTGCACACACACACACACACACATTTCACTTCTCTCCCAGGAACACCGTATAAATTGGATCAATCCGACCATGCCTGTCTGACGGGGACCTTGTTCTCCCTTCATCCGGATCCCCCTCTCCTCCTTCATTTCTCTCTATAACCAGCCAAGGATCTCCAGACCACTGGACTTATCATCTGCCTTTGCCTTACCCAGTCAGCTGCTCGTTTGCAGGCAGCGTCAGGAGGACAGCTATAGCTGGGGACACTGGACCTACCCTCACAAAGTCTAACCCAGTTTAGCCTCCTGTAGCCTAGCCTCCTGTAGTCTAGCCCAGCCACCACTGGTAATTTGATTAACCGGACCAAACCAGACCAGAGGAAACGAGTGGAGAGGGAGTGCCTTTTTAACCAATCGCCTGTCTATCTGCTTGGTTGTCTGCAACTAGACCCTCTTTGCATGCACGCTTGTGGACTCATACTGGGAACAAATACAGACCTGGATGAGCGTGTATACTGGAGCAGTGTCGCGACGAAGACTGCAGCAGGGATAACGGAAAAAGCCTGCCTGGCTGAGAGACAGTGACAAGGATAGAGACGGACTGAGGGGTTAGTGATTGGATAGCACCAGCCACCAGCACGATCTCCCAGCAATCCTCCGTGGGAGGGAGGATAAGAGCAAGGCCGCTATCCAGAGGGGAGCCACGTGACGTCTGGAAAGCTAAAGGGGGAGTCTCTACTCCCTAACTCGACGTGCTCTGGATTTTAACCTGGTACAGTACCAGAGACAAAGCTACAGGAATCACTACCAGAGTTGTCTGGCTTTTCTATGAGACAACGCTACAGGTATCTCACCACTCCTAATGCAATGTGTGATTGCAGTCATTGAAGGATTGTCGACGAAGGATAATGCAGGACACCTACAGTTCAGTATCTCATCACCTCTCTTCCTGGTTCCATGGTTACCCGTATCACCTGGAGACTTCCAAGTCAGCACCATAAAGTTGACTTAACGCTCATCTAACGCCCCCAGGAGGTTTCCTTCGTACTAAGACAACAAAGACCTCTCTGTGGTTAACAACCGTGTGAACTGAAGGATATCAAGCATCACATGACACAGCGACTCGATGAACAGGGGGGATCGTGGGAGATGGCGAGGAGTCTGAGCCGCCTCCGTCGAGGCTCTGATTGAGGTTTTTAACAAGCTGTCGGAGTGTTGGCTGACTGTCCACTATCGCCAATCTCCAATCTGGATAGTGGATACTAGCATGCTGCCGCGGCAGAATGGGACACCACCAGCTACTACAGGGCTAAAGCTATCACTGCTACTACTATGAATTTTGTTGACCGTTAAGGCGCTGATAGCAATAACATTATCGAAGGAGCGGAGAGGTATTAATAATATATGATTCTGGATACTTGGAGGCGAGCCAGGATAGTACAGGAAAGTACTTGGATTACAGTACCCCCGGAACTACAGGGAAAACCAATTGCAAACAAACTGCGTGTGTGTATGTGTGCAGGGTGGCGGAAACAGAGCAGAATTGCAGATGACGTGAGTTTTCTTTCCGCTGCCGAGCGACTGGGATGATGTGCACTGAGTCAGACACACTGCATGTGTGAGAGTATGTGTCCATTTGTGTGTGTCTGCACTGCAGCTCCCTCGCAACACACACTCTAAGAAATTGCAGATATGAGATGAGACAAGCACTGATTCCATCGCAGGCAACGGCAGAGACCCCACGGACTACTCGAACACACACACGTTGTGTGCGCGAAATGACTGATTAGCTGAAATGGACACATCTGCAGTGCTGTGACTCACCGTCTCCTACCACAAACTCTCCTAGCCTCATTCAACATGTAGTATGTATGAGCCACATTGACTTTCGCTCTCACCTGCCAAACCTTAGATGACTGAACTACCAAAGCCTGAGCCAAATCGATTTTCTCTTACGCTGTGCTTAGTCTGCTGACATGTTTCTGCCTCGGTTGTCCTTGAAGTGAGTGCTGGGACCCTGCTGGGACGTCTGTGACCTGCCCATAGAGGCGTAGCGACATTGGGGGCCTTGGAGAGCGAGCAAGAGCAGTCAGGGCTGACCATGGTGTTGCCTGAGCCTGTGTGAAGTGAGGCAACAGGTGCAGAGAGAAGGGGAGAGGAGCACCTACGGAGAGACGAGAGCTGTGACACGCAAGCCTGCAGCAAGCACCTCGGCCGGGTGGACTGAACCAGACACTGTGAGAAAGTGACGAGCCCACGTCCTCGCTCTTTCATTCTGTCATTTCCTATGCTCCTGGCAAGCTACCAGAGCTAAACCTGCTATCGCTAACGTCGCACCGAGAGCAGGGGTCACATTGGTATTGGATTCGTCCGTCACTCTCTGCTACTCTTATCTGCCTGTCCAACTGAGCACTTCTGTTTTGCTTTCTATTTTTGCCTCCTCTGCCCCTCTTCCCTTCCCTCCATCATTCTCTCCATCTGAGATGGGGAGCTCTATGGGTTGTGTGAGGCCTCCTAGGGAGGGAGGACACGGCTTCCCCCCACTGTCCCCAAACCCCAAACGGCGGCTCCGCTTCCGGCGGAAACGCAAAGGAAAGAAGCACCAGAAAGGAGGGTCGTCGGTAGGCTCGGAAGTGGAAAGCATAAGGATAAGCAACATACCAGAGGATGAGGAGGATGAGGAAGAGGACAAAGGTACTGTCACAGAGGCAACCACAGCGTCGTTCAACACTATGAGTGACATCGGAGCCAAAATCACCAATTTAACCGTGCCTCATGCTCAAACTCAATCCAGACTGCCCCTGTCCAGTGCTCTCTGTGCTGATTCCACGAGTGACAGCATGGGTGGGTTGGGTGGTAGCAGAGTGCTTTCCCCTGAGCCAAGCCCAGTGTGGAGAAGGGTGTCCTACCCCAGAGCTGGGAGTGAGGAAGGGGGGACGAGCAGTACCATAGAGGCCCCAAGCAGCCATGGGCAACCCAGTGAGGACCCCAACCCGACCCCAGACCCAGCTGTCCCATCCCAGGTGCACACCACCCCTGGCAGGGGTCAGGTCTGCAAAGTCAGGGAGCGAGAACAAGGGGTCCTGGAGAGGCCTTGCATACTAAGACCCAAGAAAGACAGGGAACGAGAAAATAAACGTGAAAAAGAGGAGAAAGAGGAGGTGGAGGATGAAGGTGGGGGTGGGGTAGTAGGGACGCTAGGGGTTGCTTTTAACACCCCTCTGGAAAAGGATCGCAAAGGGGTGGTCCACATTCGTGAGGTGGGGGGCCTGCTGTGTGTTGTAAGGACAGTCTACCCCAGTGACTTTGGGTCCCCGGTTTGGAGAGGGGACAGTTACCATGACAAAGAGGTAGAGGTACGTGCCGAACCTCCAGCCTTATCCCCAGTGACTGGGAACATCCTCAAAGTACAACTTTCTGAGGAGGACATCATGAGAGCCAAAATTGACGCCTCCTGTCCCAATAAGACCGCTAACCGTCTGGGGACCCAGGAAACTACAAAAGTCAAGGAAGGCACAGTGACTGGAAACAAAGTACAACTCTCTGAGGAGGACAGCAGGAGAGCCAAAATGGATGCCAGGGCCATTTTCCTTATGGGTACCCAGGAAACTACAAAGGGCAAGGAACTTAGTCTGGATAAACCAGCCCAGGTCCAAGAAGGGGCCTCAATACAGTCCCCAATGGCTAGGAACATCCTCAAAGTACAACTCTCTGAGGATGACACCAGACGAGACAAAATGGATACCTCCGGTCCCCATAAGACCACTAACCTTATGAGTACCCAAGAAACTGTAAAAGTCAAAGACGTCAGTCTGGATAAACCAGCACTGGTCCAAGAGGGACTATTAATACAGAACCCTCTTTCCTCTGGCTATGCCAGCGATCTGCAACACACCTCTCCAGAGACTGGGGGCTCCACCCAGGTAGGCAGGGTTAGCTTGACCCAAAGGAGAGACAAAATGGACACCTCAGGTCCCAATATGACTACCAACCTTATAGGGACCCAGGAAACTACGAAAGTCGAGGGACCCTCGGTACAGGACCCTCTGTCCTCGGGCTATGCCAGCGACCTCCCACTAACCTCCCCAGAGGCAGGGGGCGCCATCCAGGTAGACTGGGAACGCTCCAGAGAGGGGCTGGACTCTGCAACGGACAGTCCTCTATCTCCACCCCAGGTCCCCACAAAGCAGTTCCCTCAGGTCAGGGGCATTTTTCTCTCTTTCCCTCTCTCTCTCTTACTCGTGGAAGTGGAAATGTAGGCTGCACATATTTGGGGGCTTGTCCAGGATCAGGGCGGGAGAGCATATTTATGAATGTGTGTTTCCCTTTTATGTCTTGTATACTAGTGTCACATCTTTGTGTGAGAGAGATGATTTTTGCTTTTGTGTCCCTCTCTGTGTGTGTTTGTTTGTGTGTGTGTCCTGGTTATTATCAGCCCTGCGGAAGGCAATCTGCATCTTCTCATCCTTCCTGGGTCTGTCCCCAGAGCCTAATCAGCACAGCACAGACCTTCTCTGCATCTCTCCCTCTTTTCTCTTTCTCCATCACTCATTATTTTTCCTCACACCACCCACTCTTTCCTCTGTTACTTCTGACTGTGTGTGTGTGTGTGTGTTGCCTCAAATGGCATTGTTCCTGACAGCATACTGAAACTTGTTATTTTGCAATGATGTATCGGTTTATGAGATCATACGGCTCACAGAATGGGGCGGGGGGGGCGGGGGGGGGGGGGTTTCAATGGCCTCATTTGAGCGCCATCACAATAAGCTGTTTAATAGAAGGACCTACTGTCATAGGAATAGAATTACATTAACTTGAATGGTAATGTCGGTTCTAGTAATTCCATTTCTATGCCAATTATATTGTAGATCTTTAACCCCACAGTTGCTGGTGACCATTTCACTGTTACTGATAATGCCCCTTAATTGGTAGATAATTGAAATAGCACCTTTCTTGCTCAAAGCGCTTTACATTGAAAGCAGGAAACTCACTTCATGGCTGCCGATGTGTAGCACCCGGCCATCAGTATATTATGTATGCTGTGACGGTATGCATGATGTTATGTTCTCTTTGGGCCTATGTGTCTCATTTGACGCACGGTGCCGAGTCACGGAGAAAGCAAGTCACACGCAGGTGCTTAGAGCCCGGTCTCCGTTTACGAGCGTTTTAGCCAGGTAATGATCAATAGTCCTGGCTCTGGCTCTTTCTCGAGCTTTCATTCTGTGTGTGTGGGTGTGTGTGTGCGCGACGGCTGCCTTTTTGGCAATGTCTGGGCTGCCCTCATCTGAATAAATAGGGATTTCAGATGCACATTCATCAACAGTATACTGCTGCATCTAGCCCCAGGGGGGATTCCAAACACTTTATATCCATCCCTCTTTCTCTCTCTCCCTCTCGCTCTCCCTCTCTCTATCCCCTCTTTTTATGTATTTGGTGTATTCTGTCCGTCTCGTTCCCTCTCCCCATCAACTAAATGTGTCCTCGTCTTTCTCCCTGCCTATCCTCCATTTTCTTTCTCACTCACTCACTCTCTCTCCATCCACCCCTCTCTCTCCCGTCGCCCCTCCCTACCCCCTGCTACTTCAAAGGACCCTTTTTTAAATGGAATCTATTCTGAGCCCCAGGGGTCTAGTGTGTATCATAGCAGTGTACAGTAGGTGTTATATAGGCCTAGCTTTTATAGCCATTCTAGTCAATGGTGATAGCACTACCTTTCTGTCTCTGAAGCTGTGAGTGTGTAAAGGCACCTAAGAATCACATGAGACGGTGAGAGAATGAGTCCTTGCGCGCGCACACACACACACACACACCCTATCCTAGGATTAGCCATCTTAAAGAGCGTTAATAGTGTGTCTGTATTGGTATGTATCATGACTCCTGGGTGGAAGCAGGTCACTAGCTGCTCGTCGGTGTGTGTTTGTGTGCGGGTCGGTGTTTGTGTGCGTGTCGGTGTGTCTGTCTGTTAGTGTTTGTTAGTGTCTGACTTAAGCATGATGTCACCAGCTAATTAACACTATGTGCCTTGTTTTGACGGCGTAAAATCGCTACCATATGTTACCCGAAACAACCGTATTACTCATTATACCTGGATCAGAATTTATGACAAGCATGTCCATGAGAAGGTGGCAATTATGTATGAAGATTTAAATTGGGCAGCGCAAACGTATGTGGGATGCAGTCGAATCACCAGCTGCAGTATTCTAAACAGGTTATGGGTTGCAGGGGGACAACAGAGCTACATAGGATTGTACAGTACCTTGGTGTAGAATGGTAGAGTGAGGCTGTGCTGTGCTCTGTTTATTGCCAGTCACTTGAGGGCTCAGCCAGAGTCCAATTAATGGAGTGGCCCTGTAATGTATTGCCTTGCCTTAATAATCTTTACTGGAAGAGGCTCACGACACAGAGGAGCAGTGTTTTGGGTTACACACAGGTGTTTGCCTTATTGGTTTATGCAGGCCTGGTTTGGCTCTCTCTCTCTCATTTCAGAGCCATTCCTCCTCTCCTTCGTTACCCCCCTCTCTCTCCCTCTCTTTTGGCTGTTACTGCAGTCTTCTGGCACTCACTGGACTTTCATGCTGTTCTATATTAGCACTTGAGAGACAGTCAGGGAGAAGGAGGAGGAGTGCAAGACGGGGAGTGAGAAGAAGAGATGACAGAGGAATAGTGATGACAAGAACCAGGCACAGGCAGATACAGCATATACATCAGCCACCCTTTGTCAATCGGAACAGATGAAAGAAAGTGTAGAAAAGGGGAGGAGGGTGGAGGATGGATGGTCAAAGGGGTATCAGCGCTTTGGCCTCCAAAAAGAAAAGCGGCGTAAAACAGCAGATTGATGTGAAGGAGAGACGGATTGATGAAAACAAGGCAGTTTCTGAGACAAGCCGACGTGACCGACTGATGGAAGGGGAAGGAGACTTCAGGAGAGGAATGGAGAGAAGGGGAGAGACAGAAAAAAAGAAACAAATGAGGGAGGGTGGGAGAGGGGGATATTGTGGTGAGAAAACAGGAGGGTGGGAGAGGGGGATATTGTGGTGAGAAAACAGGAGGGTGGGAGAGGGGGATATTGTGGTGAGAAAACAGGAGGGTGGGAGAGGGGGATATTGTGGTGAGAAAACAGGAGGGTGGGAGAGGGGGATATTGTGGTGAGAAAACAGGAGGGTGGGAGAGGGGGATATTGTGGTGAGAAAACAGGCTAATGAGCTGGCCAGACATAAAGAAGAATAATGACAGACTGAAGGAGAAAAATAATGACACAATACCAGAGAGCATTGGCTTCACTCAGCTCGGGCTAAAGGCCAAAGAAGATGATGGATAGGAACAAGGATGACAAGTTGAATCAAAGTGAATAAAAGACTCCCAGATATAAGAGTCTGTATTACGACTAGCATGTGGATATATTTTTCTGCTGACTGTGTTTGTGTGTGTGTGTGTGTATTTGTATGTACTTGTGTGTACGAATGTTTCTGTTTGTGTGAAATATGGGTACGGTGATGGTTCATTAATTTAAGTCATGACTAAAGACACCATATGTTTGAAACGGTGTAATTAATGCACGCTGTAGGTTACAGTCTGATAGTAGGACAATGGTATGAATATGAGATAGGATAATGTAGTGTATAATTAATGCCTCTCCCATATTTGACCTAGATAGTTTGTGTGTATGTATTGATAGGTAGGCTACATGTGCCTTTAAAAAAACATGTATGTAGTTCTGTTCTTGTCTATTAATGTTCTGTATTATTTCATGTTTTGTGTAGACCCCAGGAAGTGTAGCTGCTGCTTTTGCAACAGCTAATGGGGATCCTAATAAAATACCAAATGTTTGCCCCTAAATGGAAAGGGTATGCTTCTCTGCCAGTTGTTGTAGGCTTCATATCACATTTTTTGTTACCATACAGTAAGAGCAGGCATCATTTCACCATGGAATATGTCATATTTGGAACCTTATACCAATACTTATGGATGGATCCAAGCAAAGTCATCCCAATATTTATAGGCCATATTCAATAACCCTCACCTCTCCTCTGTCCTCTCCAGATCTGACATTTATGTGAGTGGTGTGTGTGTATTCATAATGAGTGTTTCCTATATGAACCCCCCCCCCCCCCTCATGTCCCCTGTATTCTGCAGTTCTCAGAGATTTATGTGAGTGTGGAGCGTGTGTTTGTATTCATAATGTGTTTCCTATATTAACCCTATCCTCACCTCTGTATTCCAGATCTCAGAGATCTATGTGAGTGGTGAGTCAGGGGACCTGACGGCTAAGGAGAAGCTGTTGTTATGGAGCCAGCAGGCCACAGAGGGTTGGCCTGGCCTCCGCTGTACCAACTTCTCCTCCTCCTGGAGCGACGGACGCATGTTCAACGCCCTGCTCCACCGATTCAGGTATACACACACACACACACACTGAGAGACACACACACACTTTCAGTTCTGACCCCCCTGTCTCCCTCTCTGGTGGTCTCCAGGCCAGACCTGATTGACATGGAGGTGGTGGCGCAGCAGAGTAACCTTGACAACCTGGAGCAGGCCTTTGAGATCGCCGAGTCACTAGGGGTGACCAGACTTCTGGACGCTGAAGGTAACTGCCTGTCTGTGTTTCTGTCCGCCTACTTGTCTGTCTGTCTGTCTTTCTGTGTACTTCTAGCCTCGACTCCAGCCGTTCTACGGTGTTGACAGGCCTAGGATCGTGAGACCAGTGTACTTCATGATACTGTCTGTGTTCCTCTGTGTTCTGTTGGTCTGCCTCTATCTTTTTCTTCGGTCTCCCTACCGTCATGTTGACCTTTCCACTCCACCTTTCATCTCCCCATCTCCTCCTTTCACTCTCTCTCTCTCTCTCTCTCTCTCTAGATGTGGACGTTCCATCTCCAGATGAGAAGTCGGTCATCACATACGTCTCCTCCATCTACGATGCCTTCCCCAAGATCCCAGAGGGAGCAGAGGGCATCGCAGCACATGTATGTTCTACTTCTCTCCACATTAATATTAGCATCTATTAATGTAATTAACATTAGAACCGCCTGGCCTTTCAGCCTATCAGTACCCGCTAGAGAATGTTGCGAGCAAATGCATCAGATGCATATCAACCCGCAAGGTGCCGCAAACATAAGCACCAACGCTTTATAAATAGTGCATAAACTATTATAAAGGATTAATTGAATGAAGAAATATTTGTGGAAATATATACATGTAAAAAATAACAATAGTTATTTGTTTAGATAGAGTAAAGGATATATTATTTTGTATAATTCTACAAAGTCCTAGAAAATACGTAGGTCTAAAGCCTATTTTCATTTCCCTTACAATAAGAACATTAGTGTAATCCATTTACATTTTACATTTTAGTCATTTAGCAGACGCTCTTATCCAGAGCGACTTACAGGAGCAATTAGGGTTAAGTGCCTTGCTCAAGGGCACATTGACAGATTTTTCACCTAGTCGGCTCGGGGATTAGAACCAGCAACCTTTCGGTTACTGGCACAACGCTCTTAACCACTAAGCTACCTGCCACCCCATTTGATCAACTTTATTTGTAGATTTGAATAGTAATAGAGATAGTAATTCATGAAGTCCAGTTACAGCTTCTTTTGACAAAGTAGAAAGATAATAATAATATAACCAGCCAGATGCGCAGGTGAAATTATTTGCAGTATTCCTAAACAAAAGCACCAGTGCATGAAACATTATAAAGGATGAATTGCATAAATCAATATTTGTGGAAATACTGTATATTCATGACAAGTAATTTGTTGATTGTATCGGACACTGTATTGTGCCCTTATACGCGTGCCTTTACGCATGAATCAATCCTGTCTTCTCTTTATGCTTTGGGTCCACAGTCAGCACACAGCTTCGGGGCTTTGTGTGAGCAAGCCCCACAAACAAATCGGTTGCACTGCACATAGTTTACATGGGCCTTGTTTCGTGTACACCTGCCGCAGGTGTCACATAATCTCTCTGAAGCGGTTGCGTGGCATGGTCTCTCAGAAAAGGTCCACCCCATCCCTATCTGACCAAAATGACTCCACATCCATGCTCTTTCCGCCTTATGCCCCGCGGACATACAAGAGTGCAATAAATGCTTAGAGTTCATCCGTTTTTTCTGCGGCAAGGTTCAGGCATCGGAGGCGGAGGCCCCGAGTCAACATCAGATTCAGATCAAGACTCTTCATCAGCAACGTCGATTTCAAGCTCAATATCCGATCCTCCATCCGACTCCAACTCGTCTAAATTCTGCAGCATTTGCAATGCTGTCAGTGCATCCATTCGTTTGGTTCGGCGTGCCATTGTAAACTACACACATTGTATGCTGTACTCAGTGTCTGATTTGACTCTCCCATGGGAAATGATTTACCATTTCCAGCATTTCATAATAAAATAATTAGACCGCCCACAATTCTTCATAAAAATTACACTATTGTTCTAAATTCAATCACCCTCTTCACCCTCCTCATCATTCAGTTCAGTGAAGTCACATGCACCATTATTAGTTTCTATCTGGTTTCTATTGCCCATTCATCCATTGATGACAGAATAGCATATTTACATTTTAAGTTTATTATGTTACTAGTTTTTGATTAGTAGCCAGAGCAATGCTGCCGTGAGAGTGGTCATGTGCTGAATACATGAACAACACAGATATTCTTGGAAAAAGGGACATTTGGAAATAGAGCTGCACCTCTTGAATTATGAGAGTTATTTGACAAAGGTAAGTGTAATAGAAACTGAGAATATGCTCATCAGATTATTGTCAATTTAATCTTGTCACTTATTATGTGTGAAATTAGTTTTGATATAGTTTAGATGTAGTTTAGATATAGTTTAGATGTAGTTTTGATATAGTTTAGATGTAGTTTCGATGTAGTTTAGATGTAGTTTAGATATAGTTTAGATGTAGTTTAGATATAGTTTAGATGTAGTTTAGATGTAGTTTAGATGTAGTTTAGATGTAGTTTTGATATAGTTTAGATGTAGTTTAGATGTAGTTTCGATGTAGTTTAGATGTAGTTTCGATGGGCCGGTGGTGCAGGCTGACAAGCATCGTTTGTTTCCCGCTCATCACGTTGAGCAACACATAGTACATTTTCCTTACAAAAAATGTGATTAGTTATAGAGTTACAGTAAATAAATCAGTCCTGTAACAGTTTCTTTTTACAAGTAAAACTTAGAGAATGGTGTCAACCCCCAAGGCGCGCGGTCAAATTATTTGCTGCTGATAAATAGGCATAACACAAACTCATCATTACACCATTGTCTTTCTAAATTAAATCAACCTCTTCACCCTCCTTATCATTCAGTTACAGTTGAAGTCGGAATTTTACATACATCTTAGCCAAATACATTTAAACTCAGTTTTTCACAATTCCTGACATTTAATCCTAGTAAAAATGCCCTGTCTTAAGTCAGTTAGGATCACCACTTTATTTTAAGAATGTGAAATGTCAGAATAATAGTAGAGAGAATGATTTATTTCATATTTTATTTCTTTCATCACATTCCCAGTGGGTCAGAAGTTTACATACACTCAATTAGTATTTGGTAGCATTGCCTTTAAATTGTTTAACTTGGGTCAAACATTTCGGGTAGCCTTCCACAAGCTTCCCACAATAAGATGGGTGAATTTTGGCACATTCCTCCTGACAGAGCTGGTGTAACTGAGTCTGGTTTGTAGGCCTCCTTGCTCACACACGTTTTTTCAGTTCTGCCCACAAATGTTCTATAGGATTGAGGTCAGGGCTTTGTGATGGCCACTCCAATACCTTGACTTTTGTTGTCCTTAAGCCATTTTGCCACAACTTTGGAAGTATGCTTGGGGTCATTGTCCATTTGGAAGACCATTTGCAACCAATCTTTAACTTCCTGACTGATGTCTTGAGATGTTGCTTCAATATATCCACATAATTTTCCTTCCTCATGATGCCATCTATTTTGTGAAGTGCACCAGTCCCTCCTGCAGCAAAGCACCCCCACAGCAAGATGCTGCCACCCCCGTGCTTCATGGTTGGGATGGTGTTCTTCCCCCTTTTTCCTCCAAACATAACGATGGTCATTATGGCCAAACAGTTCTATTTTTGTTTCATCAGACCAGAGGACATTTCTCCAAAAAGTACGATATTTTTGTCCCCATGTGCAGTTGCAAACCGCAGTCTGGCTTTTTTATGGCGGTTTTGGAGCTGTGGCTTCTTCCTTGCTGAGCGGCCTTTCAGGTTATGTTGATATAGGACTTACATTTACATTGTTCTACTGTGGATCTAGATACTTTTGTACCTGTTTCCTCCAGCATCTTCACAAGGTCCTTTGCTGTTGTTCTGGGATTGATTTGCACTTTTCCCACCAAAGTACATTCATCTTCCTGAGCGCTATGACAGCTGCGTGGTCCCATGGTGTATATACCTTTGTACTATTGTTTGTACAGATGAACGTGGTATCTTCAGGCATTTGGAAATTGCTCCCAAGGATGAACCAGACTTGTGGAGATCTACCATTTCTTTTCTGAGATCTTGGTTGATTTCTTTTGATTTTCCCATGATGTCAAGCAAAGATGCACTGAGTTTGAAGGTAGGCCTTGAAATACATCCACAGGTACACCTCCAATTGACTCAAATGATGTCAATTATCCTATCAGAAGCTTCTAAAGCCATGACATCATTTTCTGGAATTTTCCAAGCTGTTTAAAGGCACAGTCAACTTAGTTTATGTAAACTTCTGACCCACTGGAATTGTGATACAGTGAATTATAAGTGAAATAATCTGTCTGTAAACAATTGTTGGAAAAATGACTTGTGTCAAGCACAAAGTAGATGTCCTAACCGACTTGACAAAACTATAGTTTGTTAACAAGAATTTTGTGGAGTGGTTGAAAAACGAGTTTTAATGACTCCAACCTAAGTTTATGTAAACTTCCGACTTCAACTGTAGGCCTAATTTCAATTCAATTGTGAAGTAAGGTGCACAATTATCTCCTATTCCAATTTCTCATTCATTCAGTGAGGAGAGAGACTCATTACCGCCTGGCTGGGTACCAATGTCCTACAGCACATTGTCTTGGCAGGTTGAATAGGTGTGAAAAAAACAACAGTAAAAAGGCTCTAAATACTTTTCTTTTTGTGATAGAAAAATTATTTTCTGTTTGTGATTGAAAAATTCTGACAAATGAGCAGTGGCCGTTCTAGTGTTAATGTATCAATGTACAGTTGGTCAGTCTGTGTGACATCATGTTGCCAAAGCTGTGGAGCCAATAATGAACTGCATTGATCGCAGTCAGCCATTGAAGTATATTGATAGCTGACTGTCAATGAACTAGTCTGATACTCCCTCCCTCTCTTTCTATCTCTCTCTGTCTCTCTCTTTCCCTCCCCCCTCCTCCTCTCCCTTCCTCCTTCCCCCTCTCTCTCTATCAGGAGGTGGACCACCGCTGGGCAGAGTACCGGTCTCGTTTCTCCACGCTGCTCCAGTGGAGCCGGCAGCACACGGCCCTCATGGCCAACAAGAACTTCCCACTGAGCCCTGTGGAGCTCAAGGTGCTGAGGGGGAGGGAGGGAGAGAAAGGGACAGGAAATGGAATGGGGGAGATGGAAAGGGTGGTGATAGAGAGAAGAGGATAAAATAGGGAGAAGGGAAGAAGAGAATGGAGGAGAAGGAAGGATAGGTTGAAAGAGAGGGAGGCAATGTTTATAGAGCATCTGAGTAGGAGTGCTGATCTAGGATCAGTTTAGCGATTTAGATCATAATGAATAGGATTATATAGACAGGGGGGGGCTGATCCTAGATCAGCACTACTACTATTGAGACGCTTTCTGAATACGGGCCCAGATAACTATCAACACTTTTCTGCTTGATCTAAAAAAAAAAAGATAACTAACCTTTTGTCAATACCCTGTCACTGTCCCACAGGCACTTTACAATGAGTACGTCCATTTCAAAGAGACAGAGATCCCTGCCAAGGAGATGGAGAAGAGTCACATAGAACACCTCTACAAACTGCTGGAGGTAAGAGAGGGATACTTTTGATTTGTAAAACATATTGAGACTACTCAACGACGACCAGCATTATACAATTACAGCAGAAACTGCAAACCTACATTGATGGTAAACACTGATTTACCGTGAGAGAGATTGAGCGAAATACCCAGGCAGATACTAAAGTATCATTACCCCTCATTTCAACATCAAATCATATTATGGCATGTTAGGCTGGCATGAGTCTTGTAAAAAACGGAAACATGGAGCGAGAGAGAGAGAGAGGAAAGGATATGAAGAGGTGACCTGGTTTTTGCCACCACGAGCGGGCCACACTGTGCATCATGAGTCTCTCCGGGGTACTCTCTCTGTGTGTGTGATCGAACACCCTGTTCTCTGCACCAGGCCATTTCAACCCCATGCCACTGCCTTGAGACAACAAACTATAATTCCTCCTTTATCAAATCCTCTTTCATTGCCCCTCGGTTCTTCTTTCCTAATGTCACCACTGCCCTGCTGACACTACTGATCAATGGCTTTATGATGACTCCCAACACCAAGCATCCAAAATATTTATACTTCAAGACCTGGGTCCTTTGCACTCGAAATCATGTACTTTGCACACGACATTCCGAATTTCAAATTATTTTATAATTGTTATATTGTATGTAAAAGTAAAGAATATGTATTATAGAAGTAAAAATGATATGTTTGTGTTCCACAGGTATGGATGGAGTTTGGGCGCATCAAGCTGCCCCAGGGCCTGCACCCCAACGACCTAGAAGAAGAGTGGGGAAAACTGATCCTGGAGATGCTGGAGAGAGAGAAGGCCCTGCGGCCCGCTGTGGAGAGGTCAGCACAGCGAGACCATAACCCTGACCTTAACCCTTACTACTGCTGCGAGTGTTTGAGTTATGTTTATACCAGTAGTCATAGAGAGAGAAGGCCCTGCGGCTCGCTATGGAGAGGTCAGCAACACAGACCTACTTAACCCTATAACTAACCCTAACCTTAAAGCTGGAATCTTTAATGGTGAAACAGCCACGTCCATTTGAGATATTACAACAACAACAGAAGTTACTGCAAACAGCAAAGACTGTTTTATCCACTCAGACATCATTGCAAGCGCGATATATATATATATATATTTTTTTTTTGTTATGCTGTACAACGCTTCTCAGCTTGGCAACAAAAACAATAACAACAGTGGCCGTTGTTTCATCCTACTGCGGATTCCGTCTTTAACCCAAACTACTCCTGTTAGAGTTAGTTTATACCAGTAGTTCTAGAAAGAGAAGGCCCTGCGGCTCGCTGTGTAGACATACGCAGCACACTCAACTAACCCTGACACTGTACTATAGACATCACTTAGGGCTACATGTTCATGGTGCAAGAGCACAGATCTCTGCACAAAACACAGTAAGTCTCATTATATTTTGCACAGATCTGTACTCTTGTTTTGTGAAAACGTCGCCCTTGTAGATACTTTAGTCTGAAACATCACTACCACTGTGCTTGAGGCCTAACTGGTAGAATGTTATTTTTCATTTAGGTTGTTTTTCAAGTTTGTTATGGTTATACAGTAAACCCATTCCATAGACACTGGCCATGGTGCCATTTGACCAAAATGTGCCTTTGAGACTGTTGACACTTGGACACGTGCTGATAGTTTTCTCAGACTGATTATTGCTGCAGATGGCAATAATCAGATCCTGAGAACTGACCCTGATTTGAAGACATCACCTGGTGAATGCTAACCTTCTACATGCTGTGTGATGCTTCCGTTTCTCTGTCAGTTGTCTTTGTGTGTCTCTTTCTAAACGCTTTATGCTCCATGATGGCTCTTCTCTGTGCACTCTTTGAATCTGCTACTCTCGTCTCACCTTATGCCTCATCTATGCTCATCCTCTGCTCCTGTTTTCTAGTCTCTACCTCTGCCTGCTACTTCTCTCTCTCTCTGATCTTCTCTCTCTGTCCTCTGCTCTCTTCTCTCTCTCACATCTCCGCTTCTGCTCTCTCTCTTGTCTCTCTCTCTCTCCTCCTGTCTCTCTCTCTTTCTCTCTCTCTCTCTCTCTCTCTCTTCTCTCTGTCTCTCTCTTCTCTCTCTCTCTACTCTCTACTATCCTCTCTGCTCCTCTCTCTGTATATACTATCTCCTCTACTACTATCTCTCTCTCTACTCCTCTCTCCTCTTGTCTCTGTCTTTCTCTTTCTTCTCTGTCTCTCTCTCTCTCTCTCTCTCTCTTAAATAACTTTTTTTTTAACTGCATCCCATTTTCAATGACTTCTCAATAAACTGAGGAGTAGAAGATATTTATTTTTTACCATTTTTATATTTTAAATTTATAATGACTTCCTGAATTGACTTCCTTCAATTCGAATTGACCCCAGGCCTGGTAGCTACATGCCGTTTTCACTATGGTGTAGTGTGTGTCTCACTAATTTCCTCAGCATTTATCACTTCCTTTTCTCCCACACTCCCTCTACCCTACTCTCCTCCCCCGTCCCTCCATCAGGACATGTCCCTGGTGGAGAGTGGCGAGGCGGTGCGTTGTGAGAGGGAGCTGGGGGTGTACCTGCAGGACTGCGAGGCTCTGATCAGACAGCTCAACCTGGACCTCAACATCCTCAGAGACGAGAAGTACTACCAGGTGGAGCAGCTCGCCTTCAGGTCAGTGGAGGGAGAGGGGGTGTGTATGGACAAATAATTGTATGCAATCTGCTTGCAACGCCAGGATAGTGAGTTCGATTCCCGGGACCACCTATACGTAAAATATTTATGCACGCATGACTAAGTCGCTTTGGATAAAAGCGTCAGCTAAAGGGCATATAAATTAGGCTTGGTTATACTGCATAGGTGTAAATGTGACACCACAACGGTACTGTGTTTTGACAAAAGATATGTTCTGTGGAGCAACAGTGGAGGCCCAATGTCGAGTCGTGGCTGATGCATTTTTGAGTCGCATCTGAAGAGTAGCTTGACTGAATTTGTGTATTCAGTGTGTCACAGGAAAAAAAATTGTATTTTTTAACACGTTTGTTTTCCTCCTCCACAGAGTGTCCTGTCTACAAGAGGAGCTGGTCTCTCTCCGACTCCAGTGCTCCAGCGTCTACAAGAAGGGCCACTTCTCCCCAGTGACGGGGGGAGACCGTACGGCCCCACGGGGGAGCGACAGTGGTCTCTCCCTGTCCACGGGGTCCCAGACCCTGCTGGGGGCAGTATTGCTCAGGAGACCCATGTCCCGCTCTCAGCTGGTGGCCATGTCATCCTCGGAGGACGAAGGAAGTCTCCGGTTCATCTATGAGCTCCTGGGATGGGTGGAGGAGACACAGGTAAGAAAGAAGGGGTATGGAGGGAGGGAGGGAGAGGGGTTGATAGGGGGATGGAGGGAGAGGGATTGATAGGTAGGTGGAGGGAGAGAGGGAGATGGAGAGATGGAGGGAGAGGGATTGATAGGTGGCGGGAGGGAGCTGGGAGGGAGGGATGGATGGACGGGAAAAGGGATGGATGAGTAGAAGTGATTGTGTGTGTGTTAGGAGGTGCTGGAGCGTGCCGAGTGGGGGGCAGACCTGCCCTCTGTAGAGCAGAACCTCCAGGACCACCACAACATCCACACTGCCGCGGAGGAACTACTGCACAGCCTGAAGGAGGCCCGCAACTATGAGGTACACGCACGCGCACGCATACATTCTAAAACACACATTCTTAGGCACTTGAAGATCTACTGTACATACTAATACATATACTGTAAGTAGACATTAACATACACTGAAAGGACCTGTGCATATATTTACATTTACATTTACGTCATTTAGCAGACGCTCTTATCCAGAGCGACTTACAAATTGGTGCATTCACCCTATAGCCAGTGGGATAACCACTTTACAATTGTACATAACAGTACATAACAACATGACACTCACAAACCTAGTAGAAAGAGCCAGATAATGTTTTACTAAGCTTTTGATATCCCTTTCTCTTCAGACGAAAGTCTCTCCTAACTTCAGGAGCAGTTATTCTGACACTCTGGCCAAGCTAGAGCATCAATACTGCAAACTGCTGGTGAGTGGTTGGACTTTTTTGTGTGTGTGTGTGTATGTATGTATGTAGGGTGTGTGTGTGCATCCCAGTGTGCCCACATTCTCAGTTAATCCCATCAGGGTGTGACTGCGCTAAAGCATTAAAGACCGAGTGCAGCTGGAAGAAGCACCTGCTTCTACCACAGCCCCTTGATCAGCCCTGTACAAATAAATGGATTCTCCACAGCAGGGAGTTCACTGGGGAGTGAGAGAGAGAGTGTGCGTATATTTGTATGCCTCTGAAATAACCTAAAACTCTTCGTAAACGTATAGAGTTAATACCTAGTAACATTACCACCTCCCATCCCGTCTTCACAGGAACACTCGTCATGGCGTCTGCGCTGCCTGGAGAGCCTGCATGCGTTTGTGTGTCACTGTACAGAGGAGCTGATCTGGCTCAACGAGCGAGAAGAGGAGGAACTGGCCTACGACTGGAGTCAAAACAATACAAATGTCAATGCCAAGAGAGAACTATACGCCGTGAGTGTACAGGGAAAGATACACACACACACACACACACACACACACAGAGAGAGAATACACATTTTTTAGACAGTTTTACACAGATATTGCCCTGGGTGCTCCTCTGAATGCTCTGTCATCCTCTCTCAGGAAATGAGGTCAGAGCTGGAGGAGAAACAGGAAGTGATGCACTCGCTGCAGGAAACAGCCGATCGGCTCTGTCAGGAGAACCACCCGGCCAAACAGACAGTGGAGGTGAGGTTGCCTAGCAACACAGCCATCGAGGCTGTTCAATGGCCTTTCAAAATATTGGCTTTCCATCTACGGTACTTGTCAGTACAAACAGTGCTGCTATCGATGTTCCCCTGAAAATAAGATTGTCAGTAGATTTTGTACTTAATGTTTGGACTGTAGAGCTTGAGTGTGATTCAAATAAAGAGCTTGAGAAATGTGCATTCAGGAAGCAACACATCGACTAGCAGAAAGGCGTCCGCATGCTTCCCAGCCGAAACAGTTCGGTAGAGTTTGTGCAAATATTATGACGACATTTTGTGACGTTTTTGTTCGTTTTGGACTTTGTTGAGAGTTTTTTCAGTTGTTCGGGCACACACATTTATTTCTGGAGGCAAGCTGAAGTTCGGAGTCGAAGTCTTCGTCGGTGATTGGCCAACAGTAGGGATTCTTCAATAAAGTCTTTGTTGTCATTCAATGAGAGACGACTCGTTTTCATGCAATTTCTTTTGTAGAAAAATACTACACCAAACATCTTAGTTAGATGTAAAGTTGTGCGACTAAGATCTCTTGAGTTATCTTAGATTAATTCTGACTATTTTGAGGAAGTGTATACTGGCTACGGCGTCTCAAAATGGACAAACAGTACTATTGCCGCTTTTTTTTTTCTTGTTTTTCAAGCAAAGAAAAGGGAGTATGCAAGCACACTTGTTTGGTTCGTCTAGCCGAGTTTGGCTAGGCGCCAGCCGAACTGAAGCATGCTGATGCCTTAACACATCTCCCCCCCCCATGCGCCCTCCCTCTCCTCAGGCGTACAGTGCAGCGCTGCAGACCCAGTGGCAGTGGGTGCGCCAGCTGTGTGTGTGTGTGGAGCAGCACCTCAAAGACAATACTGTCTACTTCCAGGTAGGAGAGTTAAGCAAAGTTAGCCCAAGTCCTTTTACATGTTATACCTTATACTATTACAGTATACCTGTAATACCCATCTGGTCCTTTACAATGTCAATTGTTTGTTGGTTTTCACGTAGACACCGTCATAAAAGATGAAGATTAAATTAAATGCACTTTATTTGCCTGCATTTAGTTAGTCTATTTACTACCTATCTATGTTTTGACTTGCCCTTAATTGGGAGTGTAAAGCTATTTCATCTTCTAAAACCTTGTATGAAAGGCTCAATAAAAAGAGCTGTAATACAAGGTTATATATTGAATATCTCATAGGGTCTAGCAGCAGTGGATGGATTACATATAAGCCCTAATGTTGATCTGTGTATTGCCTCCTGTCAGTTTGTGAGTGACGCACGGGACTGCGAGACGTACCTGCGTCAGCTACAGGACACCATAAAGAGACAGTACACCTGTGACAAGAACAGCAGGCTGGGCAAGCTGGAGGACCTGCTACAAGACTCTATGGTATCATTAACTTATTATTCACAATAGTATTATTCCCCCAAATGATGTTGGACCAAACACACTCAAACTTGTTAGACCAAACCTTCAAATACACCCCACTAATTCGTCAAAACACCTAAATTCCTGCCAATTCCTCCACTATTGCCTGTGACTACTTAATATCTGTAGTCTAACAGTTAGTTTTGCTCTAATCATTCAAGTATTTGCCAGTGAAAAGCTTAGGCACATGATTATAGTTTATCCACATTTAAGCTAATAAGCTACATCACCTTGACACTTCTGACGCATTTAGTAACATTATCTACGGTTAGCTGAGGCTAATGTCACGCTAATACTGTAGCCATTAGCTAGCTGTTGATACTGTAAGTCTTTAGCTACCTCATCTAAGCTGCTGTAGGCCGTCTAATCTACTCTAGTCTACCTCTGCTGATTCACGGCCCCTGTGGCACCACCATGCCCACCTGACACACAGCAGATGGCACACTTGGAGCGGGCATGGCTCCGCGGGCCTAAGCACTGTAAGCAGCGGGCATATCCACCCTGGGCATAGAGATGAGAGGGTGACTGGGTGTCTGACACAGGTCTGGGCTAGTGGGGAATGATAGAGGTGTAGACACTAGAGCAGATTGACTGATATTAAAAGTATACAGAGGTATATGAGTCATGGAAGTGAAAGGCGTTGTGCTTGGAGAAGTCAATGTAATTACACTGCATGTTTACATTGATGCAAAATATTTTGAAAGTATGATTACGTGGTTTATATCGAGGGGGGAATGGATGGTCACTCAGGATATATACATGTAGATGTGTTTTTTTGCGTGTCTGTATGAGTGTTTCATACGTGCTAGCCTCATTTCAAGATACCAAATTATGAGCACATCACTGCACTCAGTTTGAGGCAGCATGTGTGTTTTTGGTCTGAACGGGGGTATTAAGCACTGGGCGGTTGATTACATTTCCAGTGCTGTGTGTGTGTTCTCACTGGGGAGATTAAACAGGACTTTGACAGATGCCTCCTTTGCTATATTCCATAAACACAACCACCAAAGCCCTTTATTAGACAGACACAATGCCTTCATGATTGGCTAACTAATGAAAATACCTCTACCAATTTTACTCACAATTCATTCGTCCATTTCACAATAGATTCTTTCAAATAATACAATGGATAAGTAATGGCTATATCCCTAAAATGTATTCTTTCCCCCTTCCACCATTTTGTTTTCCGTATTGGCCTCTTGACTCACGGTCCACCTCTAATAGCGCTAACCCGTTGCTAATGCTATTTCAATGTTAATTCGGCCTGTGTGAAATTCAGCTCTGAAGGGTAATGCTATTAGCATATTAGCATTTCCCTCACTCTGGCCCTTAGCTCACCTTAAGCCTCTACTAAACCTTAATGAAGCTTTCTGTCAGGACATTTGTCCATATGAATGTACAAGTCAACATGAGGAGTTAAGCTAATACTGTGTTGAATGTTTAATGGATAGTTTAGCTAGCAGAAAAGCTAATTCCGAGTTAGCTAGCAAACATTGTCACAGTGTCACCAATTGGTGGTTGTAAGCTAAGCTAATGGGACTCTGTAGCTATGCTATTGAGCTGAGAAAAGAGATTCCTGCTGTACATGATCAATTGGGGGACTGTGGAGTTTAATGGAATCAATATGTATGTAAAGGATTTTTTTCATATACTGTAACACTGCAGGCCTATAGATCACACACAGTATCACAAAAGCTTACCACTTCGTTGACTGACTGATTGATTGATTTGATTGGTTAAGTGATTGATTGACACCCTCGCTGACCAATGGCTGTACCCCACAGGAGGAGAAGGAGCAGCTGATTGAGTACCGCAGCTCGGTGGCCAGCCTGGTGGGCCGTGCCAAGACGGTGGTGCAGCTCCGCCCCCGCAGCGCTGAGAGCACCCTGGGAAGCACCACGCCCATCCGCGCCATCTGTGACTACCGGCAGATAGAGGTACGGCACCCCTCACCACACCCACACTATCATGACAATACCAGGGTCTTGTTCATAAGGCACCAAACTGAGAAAAACAGAGTCGCATAGCGAGGAACTGCCTGGACTTGTCCAATAAAAATAAATTGAAAAAGTTTTCTGTTATGAGCCTAGTGAATACGACCCAGGTCA